CTGCTCCTGCAGCAGCTGTGGCAGTCAGCAGCAGCAGCAAGCAGCTGCTGCTTCACTTCTCCTAAACTCCCTTCCAACTCCGCCAAATAATGAATTGAAGGAAATAAAGAAACCAGAAAACCCTCGGGAAAAGATATCGGGCGCCCGCGCGCTTTCCCGCACTCCCGCAAAGCCTGACAAACGCAAACCCTAAACCCTAAACCCTAAACCCTAAACCCCAAACCCGAAACCCTAAGCCCTAAAGCCTGGGAAGCAAAGCCCGGAAGTGCAGCCCCGGGACAACAAAGCGACCCACAAACCCCAGCACTTCCTCTTGAAGCCGCAAACCTTAAACCCTAAACCCTAAACCCTCGATTCCGGGGCGCGGCGCTCGACGGAGGCGTTCTCGCCTCTCCCGCAGCGGGCAGCTAGGGGCCAAACCCCAAACCCTAAACCCTAAACCCTAGTCTCGCGGACCATCTGGTAGAGGATATCGCGTCTTTGCTGGGCGGTGGTGATGTTGTGCGGCTGCTGCTGCTGCTGCTGCTGCTGCTGCTGGCCAGCAGCACAAATGTCCCTTTGCCAGGCCTCTATGAGGGGCTCGGGCTCGAGTCTAAACCACTCTTGGAAAGAAAAGGGTTTCAAAACCCTTTCTTCGAGTGCATGCAAAACCCTCCGCAAGTCCTCTTCAGAAGCTATGGTGTCTGTACACCCCAAAACCCTCAAACCCCCGCTGTACAGACACTCCGAAAACTCCTGCAGCGCCACGTCCAACTCGTACGCAGCCCGCAGGTGCGGCGAGTTTTCCAAGTTGTACCTGCAACAAACCCTAAACCCTAAACCCTAAACCCTAAACCCTAAACCGTAGGCCCTAGACCCCGGGCCCTAGGCCGCGGGCCCTGCGGGCCGAGGGACGCGGGGGCACTCTGAACCCGCACTCTGCATAGGCCATTGTCCCTAAACCCTAAACCCTAAACCCTAAACCCTAAACCCGAAACCCTATGGGGACGCCCTGAACCCTGGAACCCAAACCCTGAACCCCAAATTCTGAAACCAAACACTCAAGCCCCACCCTAAACCCTAAACCCTACGCCCTAGACCTCCCAAACCCCAAACCCCAAACCCTAAACCCTAAACCCTATACCCTAAACCCTAAACCCTCGAAGCTGACCCCGCCTCGGGGTGCTCCCTTAACCACTCGCTGTTGCTGGCAGTGTGGTTTAAAACG